TCTTTATGCTATTTGTAATCAAATTCAGGGCTTATTCCAGGTTCATAAATTTCCCCCTCTTGTTTGGTAAGGATGACATTATTGGGAGCCTGTAGCTTTTCTTTAATTGCTTGAGATACATACCATTACCCTACCTTCACGAATGCTATTCGTGGAATAAAAATTATTTGGGGAGCTTCATCTATTACAGATTCATGTCAAGGAAAAAAAAAAACTTTCCAGAAAATACTTGTGAAACCTGCTGTGTTCAATTTTTGTCCTAAGAGAATCAGAGTCTGTCTTCTCAGCAAGCATATTCTTTACTTAAACTTAGTAGATAATGTTTCTTTATTTTTATTTAAGATATGATAATGACAATTGGGAATGAACAGCAAGACTAGTTACCTGTTGTCTTCACTTGCAGGAAGATCCCATGTAGTCTCATGTAGATCCCCTTTATTCATTCAAAAGTTTAGTCTTCATTCCAGATACAGTTGATTCAATCAGACAACTACATTTTTATTATTCTTGTACTTACTCTGGTTTCATTCTCTTTTTTTGAGGGGTGGGTAGGGGGGAGGTGTGTGTTTGTTTTTTAAAAAGTGCCCAATTAAAAAAGGAAAAAAAAACTTTTTCCTTGGCAATATCACCTTTCATAAGACTGTCCCCAAGAAGTAGAATAGTGTGTGCTAATCTGCATGGACTTGAACAATTCAGTATTGGACCTTGTATTTCTTAAAAGCTCTGTGTCCTTTGCAAGATCAGGGGGGATCTTACCAATGTACAGAAATACCTGGAGGGAAGGTGCAAAGAAGAGGGAGCCGAACACTTTTATTTGGCATCCCTTGACAAGAAAAGAGGCAATGGGCACAAATTAAAGCGTGTGAAATTCAATCTGAACACAAGTAAATAGTTTCTGCTGTGAGGGTAGTCAAACAGTGGAAGGTGTTGCCCAGAGAGGTTGTGGAGTCTCTGTCCTTGGAGGAGATACTCAGAAGCCGCCTGGACAGGGTCTTGGGCAGCCAGTTCTCACTGGCGCTGCTTGCGCCAGGGAGGTTGGACCAGATGACCTCCAGAGCTCCCTTTCAGCTTCAACCATTCTGTGATTCTGTGAAACCTCTCTCCAAGGAACGTCTGTTCCAGAGTACTTTCAGAGTTGGTATAGCAAGAGCAGCTGTTTCATGGAGTAATTCTGCCAAAAATGTGCAAAGTAACTTACGCTTTTCCTTTGCATTTCAAATGGAAGGAGCAGTTATATACATGACTTTTTTGAAAAGAAGATGTTTGCCCAATTTTTGCAATAACTTAAATAGTTGCTGTTAGTCACCAAGGTTACTTGAATGTATTCCTAATATATGGAAAACTCAATGTGAATCAGTGAGGTACAATTTCAAAGTCATGTAGCAAACAGTGTTGGTGCATTGGGGCTGGGAAGAGGTCCACTCCAGGACCTCTTCCAGGTTTGTCAAGTACTGGTACAATTATAGAGTTTATCACTTTATTCATCCCACGCCTTTCTTCTTCTGGATTGTGATTTGAATTTGACACAGTCTTTAAAACTTCCATTCTTCTTCCTATCTACTTTCCTTTCCTCTTCGTGGTTTTTTTTTGTTTGTTTTGTGATTTTTTTTTTTAATTTGTTTGGTGGTTTGTTTTATTTTTTTTTCCTTTAATCATAGAATCATAGAATCATTAAGGTTAGAAGAGACCTCAAAGATCATCAAGTCCAACCGTATACCTGATGCCACTAAACCCACTAAACCATGTCTTGAAGTACCACATCTAAACGTTCTTTGAACACTTCCAGGGACGATGACTCCACCACCTCCCTGGGGAGCCCGTTCCAATGCCTAACTACTCTAACAGTGAAGAAGTTCTTTCTAATGTCCAGCCTGAACCTCCCCTGGCGCAACTTGAGACCGTTTCCTCTCATCCTGTCGCTAATTACCGGCGAGAAGAGCCCAATCCCCACCTCACTACAACCTCCTTTCAGGTAGTTGTAGAGGGCGATAAGGTCTCCCCTCAACCTCCTCTTCTCCAGGCTAAACAACCCCAGCTCCCTTTGGTGCAAATTGAAAGCACAATCTGGCGTTACAGTCCAGAGGGAACAAAGTAAATTCACTGAGTGGCTAATATAAGTCACTTTTCCTCTTGTATGGTAATTTTGTGTGTCAAAGGCTGCTATGTAGCTGAAAGGTCAGGTGATCCCTTCTTTCAGCTACCATGATCCCTCTTCAGTACCTTCTTTTCTAAGCATTCATGAGGTCTTAAGCACTGTTGTTTAGATGCCTGTGCTTGAGCTTAGGAGTTGCTCCCTCCCATCCTCTGGATTTACAGCTGTGTTTTTAGTGAAATGTATGAACAGACATGGTCCATGGGTCCTTCCGTGAAATTGCCCTTGCCTATCTATTCTGAATGCTTTGTAATGCTATAGGCAGTCTTTATTTAAAGATACTTGCCCTGTGTAGGGTCCTGTTCTTAGCAGCCTTGGCAACTGAGCCAGTTTGCTGAATTTTTTTTTTTTTCCTGAATATTTAAAAAAAAACAAAACCCTCTACTCTTTGCCTCTTCTTAGGTGGCTATTAAAGGAATTTTTTGAGGAGGAGGGTAAAGAAGGTAAACACACTTTTTAAAAAGTTCTGTTTATACTGGGGAGGCCTGAAAACTTAGCCTTTAGAAATGGTGAGAGAGCAATACAAGTTATTCATAATTTTTCAGGAAGTTAATTTAACTAATCAAAAAAACTTCGAAGGTTTTGAAAACTACTTTTATCCTGAATTGGGATGAAAATAATATTTGTGGGTGTGAAATCGCCTTGTTTTTTAGAACTGGAAAGTGTTGAGAGCAGCACCATCCTGGCAGGGCTGGCAGTTGGGTGGTCGGTGCTCTGGGAGGGAAGCCAAACAGAAAACCAGCAGGGAAAGGGCACATTTTCCTGTCAGCTCTTTTTTCCTTTGAAAGTTGAGAGAAATGTACAGAATCCTGCAAACACCCTCTTTTCTACCACCTGAGCAAAACCAACATTGTCAGACACACAGAGAAAAATCTTCTGTCAGCTCTGAAGGTAACCCTTGGCTTTTAGAGTAGGTGGGATTTAAACCCTGGTTAGCAGTGGGAAGGTAGGAGTTAAATGATCGTTTGTTTTGTACAACTTGTCAGTTAAATCTCTTATCCAAGAAGCAACTGTCAGAACAAGTTGCAGGTTTTATTTCCTCTGCTGCTGCTGTTTATTTAAAAGATTGCTTTGTGGGTAGGTATTTTAGTTTGTCATACAGCTCATATGTTAAATCATAAAGAGATACCAAGTTCTTTTCAAAATACCTGATGATAGCTGCGCAAATGAAATGGCAATTAACTTGCTCTTTTACCTCTTTAACTGACTCTTTAGAGTGCATTTGTGTAACTTCCACTCTTCTAACAGAATGAAAATACTCACGGATACCAGAATATGTAACCAAATATTTCTTTATCAAGCAGTAAGGTTAGAGTGCCAATGTCACATTGTAGATCGTTTGTTTCCTGACGGTGACAGTGCAGTCTCATGAGATGAGGTGATAACATTATGCTGATCTGTATGGCGAGAGATTTGTTACAGGGCAAGAGTAGCGTGGCTACAGGGTTCCTATAGGAAGATGAACCTGAGCTCAGCATAGAGTAGCAACTCCTCTGCCTTCTGCCCTCTCCATTTCTCTCCACAGAACAAAAAGATACTCAGCAACTGGGTGCAAGCAGAAAACGACGTGATTCCTTGAATGTGCTTTGCAGTTATTATATATAGGTAGAAGGCAATGGCTGTCTTTACACTTAGTGCTAACTGAACAGAAAGTACTAATGCCATATTGTCTGGCTTATTCCCTGAAGGGATTTCTGAAATCCTTTCAAAATCTATCCACCCCTACAGAGATGTGCAATTGTGTGTTCTCTCTCATACAACTACTAATTTGCAGGTATAAATAACATTGTGCAGATTCTGGGAATGAGAAACATAAATTCGTAAAAGTAAACCAGGGGTGGTATGCATTTTAGATGCTTTTAGCTTAGGTTCAAGCTAAGTTTATCTTCTATCTGGAAATACTGGGGTGGTAAACCACCACCAAATCCACACAATTTGGCGGAGGGGGAACCTGTCTGGCTCCCCTCAGCAGTAACTGGCTGATCTTTTAAGCTTGTCAGAGGGCTGCTGTTCCCATGCAGTCTGTGCTACTGGTCTGATTCTTAATCAGCCATATGCAGTGAGCTGCAATCCCTGAATGTGTTCGGCAGTAGTTTTTGATAACAGTCTAATGAGAGTGAACTCTCTTCCCCACTGAAATGTCACTAGGTTTGAGAAAGATGCTTGAATTTTGTGAAAAACTGTAGAAGAGAATTATATTTTTGACACTGGGCTTGGAGCATGAACTGAATTGCCAGCAAGAGACTACGGAAGTTGGAGAAAGGGCTACAAAGATGATTAAGGAACTGGAGCATCTCTCGCTGTGAGGAGAGGTTGCAAGATCTGGGACTGTTCAGCCTCCAGCAGAGAAGGCTCAGGGGGGTCTCATCAATGTGTTGTGTAAATACCTGGTGGAAGGAAATGAAGAAGAAACAGCCAGTCTTCTCAGTGGTGCCCGCTGACTGAACAGCAGCATAAAGTAAAACACATGAAACTTCATTTGAATGCAAGAAAACACTTTTTCTTTTTGCTGTGAGGGTGGTCAAAGACTGGAGCAGGTTGCCCAGGATGCTTCTGTGGAGATGCTAAAAATGTAGCTGGATGTGGTCTTGGGCAACCTGCTCCAGCTGACCCTGCTTGAGCAGAGGGGTTGAATCAGAAGCTCCCAGGAGAGGGAGGTCTCTTCCAACTTAAACAGTTCTGCAAAAGTTTTGTTGTTTTGTTTTCAACACTATATTAACTTACCAGTTACGTAGATTGACTTCAGCTGTCTCAATATGTGACAGGTTACACTGCGCTCTTCATTACCATATAAATATGAAGCATATCTAAACAATTTACACTTTTTTTTTTCCTCTCTGCTTTCTAGGTTCTGGGAACGCCTACAAGGGAGCAAATTAGAGAAATGAATCCAAACTATACTGAATTCAAATTCCCTCAGATTAAGGCACATCCATGGACTAAGGTGAGTCTATATGAACTGAATAATAAAGACATGTGGGCTGAAATTAAAAATTCAAGGAGTTCAGTTTGTTTAGTGATTTAGGGGCTTTCAGTCTGAGTGCCTTTAGCTAAGCTGGGGACCTGGTAACTTTTGATGTAGATAAGGAGAAGGTATTGAAGCAGTGCACTGTAATGTCTGTTGGTCTGGGGTTTTTTGAGGTTGCCTACAGGTGGGGGTTTGTTTTGTTTTTTAACTATAGTGTGTGTGTTTATAGCAGATTGCAATATATCTAAATCCTGCCATGCTATAAATTGATATGCACAATTCACCTACAAATGAGAAAGTGTTCCAGTGATACGTGTGACACTTTTGTGATGCTGTTACATAATGTGATGAGGGCTGACAGTCACTTTCTTCATTGGTTCTCTCATAGATGTTATTGTATTTGTACTCCTATAGGTGTGCTGTTGAGGGGATTGTTTTTTCTTGGGGTTATTTCTTAAGACTCCTTATCTAGCTTTCACAAGGAGACACTTACGCAGTACATGCAGACAATATTATAAACTTCATGATCAAAGAGGAAACTGCTAGCATTGAAACAACTACATTGCCACACAATTAAGCTGTCTTCCACATATCAAGCAATGATGAATATTTGACTTGGGACAGGGTAACAATCATTTAATTAGCCTCTTGGATGTGAAATAAGTTAAATATTGAGTCTTAAGCAATTGAAGCCTGGGTAGTTAACGTTTTCTTTTTGCTACTTGAGAAATGTCTGATATAGTTGCAGTATATTCTCATCGTATCTTAACAGCTCAGGTTTCCTTCTGCTAAGAAAGTAGTGTGTATGGATGGAAGGGTTGCATTCCTAGCTGAGCACATATCCAGGACAGACTCTTTTGGGGCAAATGACTGTGGTGGTAGAAACTCTGGGTTAACTAATTAGAGCTAATTGATAGCAGGCCATGTGCATGATGGGTACTTTGCAGGCTGGGTAGTGCAAGTCACTACTTTTGTGATAGATTCTTCAATGAGTTATGTACCACTTGAATTCTCCTTTTCCTCTAATCCCTGGCTTGCATTTCCATATCAGAGTTTCTTTCTGTGTTTTAGTTAAGTGATTTGTAATAGTATGAGAGGTCAGTAAATCCAGTGAGGCTTTTTAATACCTTATGTTAACGGGAAAAAATTAGGTTAAATGAAATCCCTGGGAGTGATCTCTTCAGTTTTGAATTGCATCATGGTAAAAGTCACAACAGTAAGTCCAAAAGCCTTATACTATAGCACTGAATATTAGAGTCGCATCTGAATTCCTGCAGTGAAGGTGTTTGGATTAGGGAGGGTTAAATTAATATGCAGTGGAGGAGGAGTGCAGAGGTGTAACGTAGAACATGGAGTTAAGCATTTAAGCTAGCTATGCAACTCATCATCTGCCTGAATAGTCGTAAGAATCATCTGCATGTGCTTGATGGTCTGTGAGACCACAACAGAGATCTTTTGGCAAATGAAAGCTTCAAGAAAAAAAGACTCCCCCCTCTTTATATGAATAGCTTTTTGGTCGTTCTAAAGGATCACAAGTGAAACTAAGTCAATTACAAAGAATTGAGAGGAGCTTGCCAGAAGATCAAATCTGCATTCTCCATTAGGGCACAATTAGTTTTGGAGAGCTGTCATTGCAACATAGCTTCTCATTCTCGAGTCGTTCTGCACACAACTCTTCCTGACATCAGCTGCATGTAGAATAACATTTAAACCAGTTTATTACAATTGAGTTACATGGTACTTCATTTATGAGATCTGTACTTTTCTTGTTATACAAATGCTAAATTAACAAAATGGATTATCCAGCATGGTGTTGGTAATGATGCTCATCCTCTGCAATGTATTACTTCTAAAGATCCTTTCCTTTAAACATTTTGGGCATGTTGAGCCGTGAAAGATCTAAGTGGTAATATTATGTAGAATTAGTCTAGCTTACCCAGCTGCATTGGTATAATATCTGATGGCATGTCAGTGGGCATGTGCATCCTTTTGGACCTTCTGTATCTTAGAACTGCAAAGTTTGGGAGAAGCAGCACTTCAGAACTCTAGCTGTCTAAAGAGCAGAAAAGGAATGACTGAAGAAGTGAAAGTGCAAATCTTTTGGTTTTGTTATAACTATGTGTGTGACTAGAGTGCTACAAGTAGTTGCCAGCAGGACTTGAACTTTAAGTTTCAGCTTCAAAAGTGCAAACCTTTGCCAACTAAGCTAAAGAATTACTGAAGATTACGGTAGGTAGAAGGTTGTTATTTCAGTGGACTAGTTATGACCAGAAGATGCAGCAGACATAAGTTAAGGGGGTTTTGTGTGGTAGAACTTCTAGGCAGCTAGTTTTCAGCATGTTTGAGAGAAGATTACTGAGAATATAGTCACTCCTTGCTATAAGTTATTTAATGCAAGGGCATTCTCCTTGTTGCTCTGTGGTGTTTAATACAACCAGGGGTATTTTTCAAAGTTGAGGGTTTTGTAGGCCCTACTTGGAGATAATTTCTTGCAGTGGAGATGCCCAGGTGCATGTTTAGCTACTGTCTAGGTGTTTAACCTCTTCTATGCAGTCTGGAACTGGTTGTATCCAGACCAATAATCTATACAAAAGTAAGGACCATGGTTCACTCTTGTTTTCAGGGAGCTTTCTTGGTCTGCAAAAGTGTGTGTAGATGGCAATTAAGACTTTTCTTTGGAAGCTGTAGTACCTATAGATTGCATCTGAAATTCTGTGGTGCAGATGTACCTGGTTCTGGTCTGCTCTCTAGGTATTTCTGGCAAGCATAGGTACACTATTTTCCTACTTGGTATTGCTGTGGTGGTATAATTTGCTACATTTGGTGTTACCTACTAGGTGAAGAATAATGCTGATGCTATAGCAGAATGAAATATGTTCTGGGTTTTTTAAAGGACCAGAGAAATTGTTTGAGACTGAATAGGGATGAGTCCATGAAGGAATATCGTTTCTCAGATTCATGCAGTTTCAGGCTTAAATTGGAATGTCGAGCACAAGTTTTATGGAAATTTGAAGTCTACCTTCATAGATGTATCTTAGACTTTTCAGCAGAAATGAATTGGTATCATCTGAATACAGTATTGATATTCAGTGTGAAGTAATAGTACGAAGAAAGAGATCTCAAATTAACAAGGGTCTGTCTTCATAGATTAGGAGAGAAGTCAAGCTAACACTCTAAAAAGTACTTTTCTGTGCTGCAGCAATAATGCGAGTTTACAGTGCAAACTGTTCAGACTGTTTTTTCAATCTGTTGACAATTTGAAATTGAAGTACTTTTGTAACTTAAGAGCTGTGTGGTAAATAATAACGTAGTTTTGCTTAAGCCATAGCACGTAGGCGGTCAGAAAGAATGTAGGTTTCCCAGGACCCAAGTATGGGGACGGAGACAGGGAAATGTGTATTCTGGTATAGGTTCATGCTTCGTTAGCTGATACCACGTAGCTTAGCTTGGTTGTCACCTTCCTGCCCTTATATGGAAGAAGGAGAAGATTACCTGCCAACTTGCAGTTTTGTTATGTAGCTGGAGCATAGAGTGCAGGCACAGGAATAAGGAGGTCAAGAGTTCAACCAAGAGGAAGACTTTGAGCCTTCACCCCACGACCCTCAAAGACGACCACCAGACAACAGTGCGCAGATGCAAGTGGGAGGGCATAGATGTAAATAACTTTGAGGAAATCATTTGAATATGTATAAGACTTCCGAGAAATGGCATGAATATGAATGACTGTCCTAAATAAGTATGTAGAAGTGAGACCAACCGGTGTGCATGCAGGAGGATCACAGCAGTGATCTCCCGTGCACCCAGCGCTGAAATAAAAACTTTGCTTCACAGACTTTGTCCTCTCTTAAAAACTACATAGGTGAATGATTCTCACAGCTGGAATCTCTTGTTATAAAATGTACAGAGGCCTCTCTTCTCTCCAATGTAGTTCTGTGTTGCCCAAGCACATGCGTGTTTTTATACCAGTTACGTGCATGATGCAGATGATAATGGGAGTTCAATGTGTCCCTGGCTGGCAAAAGAAAGGAGAATCTAAACTTTCCAAGAATCTTTCAAACAGTTCTTCCAAAACGTCTCTCTTCTCCTCTGGCACCTGAGCCCCAAAAGAAGGAATCTGGGACATTTTGGTTCTTTTGGGGGTGATCCGCTTCAGAATACCAGTGTTTGATTTAGTAACATAGCTGTTCTTGTCATCCAGACCTCCCTTTGTTTTCACATAGTATAGAACATTGTATTCATGGAGGTGCACCCTACTGCTTGTCTGCCTCGGTCTGCGAGTAAGTAGCATTAAGTTATAAGAGAAGCAAGATCTTGTAGGGATGGGAGTATCTTTTGACTGACTGATACAGTCAGAAAAAATGGATAGACTTTTAGACACACAATTATGTCTTCAAGTTTATCTTGGGTCAGAAAACCCGTCCATTTTTTCCAGCTGTATCAGCTTATTGAATAAAAGTTACTACCCTTTCTGGAGGTTTTGCTGCTGTTGTTTTTACCAGGTCAGAGCTTTCCTTCTGTGTCTTTGAACCACCTCAACTCCTTGAACCTTCTTTCTTCTTGAAGTGCAGTCTGATCTCTGCTACTCATCTTTATACTTATTTTTCTTCTTCTGACTAAGTTTCATCTATATAACTGTGTGACTGGAAAGCCAAGAAGAAAATCTGAGATCACAGGGCTCTTGAACTTCAGCTTTGGCGATTAGCTTTCTCTGAAGCTTTCTGCCCTTTTGGGGTGGGGGTGGGGGCAGTGGAGTGGCTGATGAAAGGTCTAAACATATGCTTCATAAGCTTGTGTTAGATCAGCGTTGCTTACCATGGCCCCATTACATCTGGCCTTTATCCTAGCATTACTCAGATGCTACCTTCAGATGTCAAATCCTTTGGGTTATGAAAAACAAGGACAGTGCTGTGATTATTTCCAGAAATATGAAAAATGTCTGTCAGTGATGGCCTGCCTTTCCCCTTCATCCAGCTAGT